GATGGGGTCCGTCACCTCTTTGACCAAAAGGGGGTGGTTACAGTCAAGGACCGGGAGCAGAGGTCAGTGTCTCTGGAACAGGCCCTGGAGTTGGCAGTCGAGGCTGGAGCTGAGGATGTACAGGAAAGTGAGGATGAGGAAGAGCAGGAGGTGCTGAAGGTAGGTTTCCACAGGTCGCAATTACTATGGTTCCTGACCAACAAAGCAGGGTATTGTGGGAGAAGTGGGGGTGCACTCAGGACCATTCACTTGTGCTTCTTTGGCCCAGATCGGTGTGAGGGGCAATACCCTCAGCCAGTAGGGGGCACCTGTTTCCTGATGTCTTCATGGGACCAATGAGATTCGATTGGGGTGGTGTCTTGACACTTCACTGCATGATTTTGTGCTGGGGTGGAGGTACATGGAGATCCAACTAGCCCCAGTCCCTCCAGGGAGATGGAGCAATACCTGGGGGACTCCTGGCTGGGCCTGGGTTTGAATCAGCTGATGGGACCATCCAGCTGCTGGTGGCAGCCTTCACTGTGCTGTGTGTATTGTACAGCCTTCCTCTGAATCCTACCCATGCATGGGGTGAGGGGAGGCTCCTCAGCTTTGTTCTGTTCTTGGGCTGCTTTCCCCAGCTTCCCACAGGAGATGTAGTATGACTGAGAGCAGCCCCGAGGCTGTTGTAACATGGACCCAGGGGCTCATTTTTCACCCTCGGCTCAACCAGGGTAATATTGTGGAACTTTGTTGTGGTTGAAGGCCTCAGGGTGACCACAGTGCAGTGTCAGGGAGAACAGACTTTGGAAAGGAACTGGTGATGTTCTGAGCGCAAAACATGAGCTCCCTGCTTCAGCAACAGACTCAAGTTTGCTGTGGACCCAACCAAGCAGAAGGGGTCAAAACTGTGCTGCATGGTTGAGGATGCATGCCTGGTCCCCTGTGCTGAGACCCTCCCTTCTCTTTCCACAGTTCTTGTGCGATGTATCTGTGCTACACCAGGTGCGGAAGAAGCTGGATGCACAGGGCTTGCAGTCGCTCTCTGCTGGGTTGGAGTTCATCCCCAACACCACTGTGGAGCTCTCTGAGGAGGAGATGAAGCAGTCCTCAGAGCTCCTCATGGTCCTGGGTAACTGCCAAGACGTGATCAGGATCTATGACAACATTCAGTAGGGGGCTGTGTTTGGGATGGTGAGGGGCTGGGACAGTGTCAGAGTGTCCCTCCGACCCCATCACTGGGGTAACAAGAAACAGGATGTTGGTGCCCTGTGGACAGTGACAAGATGTGCTCCACTGCTTAGCTGGGGTTTCCACCCTCTGGCAAAGTGGTTCAGGACTCTGTCTTGCCCTGGAATGCAATCAGGACGCTACAGGTTAATTGCCGGGCTGGATTGTTGCCAATGGAGTGACTGTTGCTTTGTCCTTCACCTGTGGTGGGGGTTGGTTTGATTGCTGAAGGGCTCGGCAGGGCAGGGGCACTTGTCCTGTATAACCACCTGGGTGCTTGTGTCTTGAGCCCAGGAGGTGAGGGCTTCAACCCACACCTGTTGCAGCAGCAGGGCCCACCCCTTTCCCCAAGCATCAGATGCTGTGCAGGATGAGCTACCATTCATTTGTGCAGCACTGAGCACAGCATCAGCACTGCATAGACCGAGTCAGGCAGTGCCAGGGCAGGAGCCATCCTTAGACTCACACCTTTAGCTGTATATCCTGCATGACTGTCTATGGCAGCCCTGCTTGGAGGGCAGCAGCCAGGTTAGGGGCATCCCACACCATTCAGCCTGGTTGCAGCTATACTTTCATCATGCTGGCTAATAAACAATGGTTTGTGGGTGGGGGCTCTGTCTCTGCTCTCGGCATAGTGCTGTTCTTCCTATCCAAATACATGCGTGCCTCAGGGAATGGGGGGTGGGGCCATTGTGGAGTTGTAGTTGGAGGCTTGATGTGATGGCCAGATTGGATGGAGACATAATGGAAAAGTCCAGAGAGATTCTCCAAAGGCAACATTAAGGGTCCTTGGAGTTGCTTGCTCTATCACAGTGAGGCAGGAACAAAATTCAAGCTGGAAATAAGGGGTTGGTTGAATGGACAATCGCCCATGGAAAGGGATAGTTCTTCCATCATTTGGCATTGGTCAATTAAGATGTGGTGACTGTTCAATTGCCACTCCAGTCCAGGAGCTATTAGACTGGGTTCAGAGGTCCCGGGAGGGATTCTCCGGCCTGGGTTATACTAGAGGCTGGATGGGGATGGTTATCTAACATTCTCTAGAAAAATTATCTGAGTGAAACCAATAGTTTTCAAAGCTGTTGCAACCATCCTACTGAGAAAATTTGGTCCTTGTTGCCAGCATAGAGTACAGCATTCTGTGCAGAAATTGCCTGTGGTCTAAAGTAAACTTTGTCTTGTATTTTCCCCTTTTTAAATATATATATAAAAAATTAAATTTGTAATGAAGAGGAAAGGGTAGTGGAGGGTGTTCTCTTATGGAAATGTTTGATGAATCGAAAACAATTAGTTGAAAATTTTTTTTTCACTTAGAAATATTTTCTTCACCAATTAATACCACTTTACAGCCCAAGTGCAAGTGGGTGATTGAAAAACTGGTGCCTAGCTCTGTGAATAAAGTTCTGTAGCAGCCTGAGGCCTTCACACACGCTGCTGGTGGCTCCCAGAATGCCTGGGATTATTTTAAATGTGATACTTTAAAACTAGGAATTTGTTTTAGCTTTTGTTTGCTTTCTGGGTTTTTGCCACTCAGGATTGTGTGGGGGTTCATTCTGTTTTTAAAGACAAATGTAGGTTTGGTTGTATTCACATGACTCCAGCAGCTGGGGATTTTAAATAAAAACATGAGGATGGGATAAATCACAAGAACTCATGTTGCTGGTTTTTGGTCAGGAAACATGGCCAGGATCTTACTAACTGATCCCCTTCCACCTTGATAAGTACTTTGTATTTCAAAGTGTAAAATCACAAGAAACCCACAGACCAACATACGTATCTGCACCAAACCAGCAATCGCCCTAAACACACCAAGAAACCTGTAATATAAAGCCAAGTCCTCTGGTACCACCAAGTCTGCACTGAGGAGAACACCCATGATCATCACTCAAAAAGACTTTCATTCAACAAGGACACTCCTCCAGAGAGAGAGATCAGACTTTTGAAAGAGCCACCCAGATTCCACGTGAAGAATTGCTGCAGTACAGAAAGAAAATCCCCATGAATCACACACCACTAGTTATGACATACTATCCTTCCCTGGAACCTATATGGAAAATCCTCAAACAATTGCAACCCATTGTAGAAGAAGAACCAAGTCATAAAGAGATCTTCTCAGAACCACCCGTTCTAGCCTTTAAACAAGCACCAAACCTTGCCAACCTCATCACCAGAAGCAAACTTCCTACGGCCTAAAATACACCGAATGGATCCAGACTATGCCAGGGCAAGAAATGTAAAACCTGCCAACACGTCTCCATTACCCCCACAATTACTACACTCCACAACAGAACTATCAGCATTCCTGGATCTTACAGCTGCACCTCCAGAAATGTAATATATCTCATCCAGTGCACTAAATGCCCTGATGGAAAATATGTAGGAGAAGCCGAACAACAACTGCGTACCAGAATTAATGTACACCAAAAATCTATCAAAGACAGGAATACCCAATCACCTGTGGGGGCACATTTCTCATAAGACAACCACACTTTCCAATCCCTCAGTTCTAATCCTCAAAGGGAATTTACAAAACACCTTTCACAGACCAGTCTATGAACTTCATTTCAACCTACTGGACACAAAAAATCATCGACTAAATATAGACATTGGATTTATGGCACATTACAACCTGCCTAACATCTGATACCTTAGGTAACTGTTTACCAATTACTTATCACCAGGTCTGCAGTCCTCTTCCTGCCCCCCACCACACACACACACCTGTTTGTCGCCCATTGACTGCCTTAATTTGCTTTTTAACTGACTGGCTTTCTTGCAGACAGGCCTTGGGCTTCTATTTTATTCTATCCCAGCCAGGAAGAGCACAGAACAACTACGGACTTCCTGAGTTTGAAAACTTGTGAAGAAGAATGTTTCCAACTATTTTAGTTGGTCCAATAAAAAATATCTGATTTACCCAAAGAACCTTGTCTGCCTATGTCCTTAGACCAACATTACTACAACCATTGGTGATGCGTAGGGGGTGCACAGGGGTACACGTGCACCCTGAGCTTGGCAGTGCACCCCATGCAAAAAGGTGCTGCCGACACTGCCAGCGGGCGGTCGCTGCTAGCCACACCCCCCTTGCTGCTGGTGGTGTCTGCGGGTGGTCCCCAATGGCCAGTGGCATCCGCAGGTGGTCGCTGACCGCTAGTCAGCACTTGCCACCCCTTCACTGCCAACAGCACCGTGGTTGCCTGCGGGAGCTCATTGCTTGCCGCCACCATGCTCCTGCTGCCACCAGGCTCCCTCCCACCCCTCTGGGGGCACGTGGCATTCATGGCTACAACCAATACCTCCAAAACACCAGGTTGCACTCAACATATTTTTATTTAAAACCCAAACTGAGGACTTCAGGGCCAGAAGCCATCTGCTGTCTGAGCCCTGTCATTATTCCAAATGATCACTTTCAGGGGTGTAATATCACCCTGTGGCAATAGTGCCTGTGTGGCAGAAGTGCATGTGACACCAAATGTTTTAATGAGTGTCCTACCCACATTGAAGCCAGTAGCAACAATGTAATTAAGCCACTGGTTGTTTGAATAAAATAGCCTGTAAAGGGCAATTTCAGTGTACCTCACCTAGCTAGTGGGAGCAGGGGTTTCCAGAACAGACCAAGCCATGGGGGTGGGACAGGGGCTGTAATGTCTGAAGGAAAAGATGCTTCAGTACAGTAGTGTGGAGATGTAGCTGGGATCTTAGGACTTAAGGGCAGCCATGTTGGTGGGGGTGCAGTGGGCTAGGAAATGGGGGAGGCAGGCCACTAACAGCTCTAAGGAGCATCCTGTGCTCTACAGTGTGGGATGCAGCAGCCGCAGGGGAACACTGTCACAGCCTGGGTAAAAGATGGGCCTCAGTGGCTCATTGAAGGCCCCAGAGAGGGTGTAAAGGTGCTCCATGCCCACAGTATTGTAGAAGGAGACGCATCCCCGCTCATAGTCCACATACACCCCAACAGTGCGAGGTGGGGCCTCCACAGTGAGGGGCTGTGGGCATGAGGCCATAGCCAGGTATTGTCCCCTGTCATTGCGTCGTAGCACCCAGTAGGCCTCACGGGCCAAGGATGCCAGTTGCCCCTTCCTCGCCAGGGACTCGCATGCCACACCAAGTGCCCAGTCAGCCTTGTTGCCCACCTCCACCTCCCAATAGTGACGTCCCCCAGTCAGCGCTGGCTGGCCCAGCACCAAGCAGTAGACTCTGAAGCGCTCGGGGTTGTCAGGGAGCAGACGTCTCTGGGCACCCAGCTGCACGCTCGTCAGGTCATCAGACAGCACCAGGGCAGGATGGGCTGTATGGGGGTCCAAGGTCACAGAGGCTGGCGCTGTGGGAAAGGGTTAGAATGAGCTAGGGCTGCTCCTGTCCCCAAGGACATCTCACTCATACATGCCTACACGTGTGTAGCACAACTTTTGAGCAGGAACCATTGAGGGTTCAAAAGAGTGAGCTTCTGCTTAGTGCCACAATATAACTTCCAATCTGTAGCAGCAAAAAGCTATTTCATGTGGGCCAGAAATTTGGTGGTAGACTGATCAGTGGTAGCATTAGGGCTGCAGCAATTAATGCCATTGTCATTGGACCATACAATGGAATTTCTGGCCCAATGGGGTGCCCAGCAGGCTGGATCTGGAGCGTGAAGCCATGTCATCTGGCCCATGGGGCTGGAAATTTGGCGGCAGGAACAGTGGCAGTTGCTGTGGCTCTGGGAACCATAGCAATTAACACTGCCATTGCCAAATTTCTGGCCCTATATGTAGCCCCATAAGCCAGATGGGAAAGCCCTGCACTCCAGATCCAGCCTGCAGCTGGGCCCTGTATGACTTGCCTAGCTCATGGGGCTGGATGAGTTTAACAGCCGTAATGCAAGTAAAAATTTCATTTTTTCCATCCATATTTGTCCGTTTCTTTTTTATCAATAAGACATTACAATACAAGCATCCAATTAGTCCTTCTCCACACAGTTTAACACCATTTTCCCTAAAGAAATGTAGGAAACACACATTGCCACATCATGCTTAACTACAATTATCAATTAATATAATTCAAATTATAATTTTGACCTATTTTTTATTTTTAAGCCAAAATTCCAAATAAAATGTTGTCTTGAGCAGAGATCCAATTTCTGTTTCCTCTTAGTAAGACTTATATTTACGAAGAAATTAATTAAAGGAAAATTCTGAACACAATTTTTGTTTTGTTTGGAGATGAATTTTTTAAATGGGAAAAAAAGTACGTGGAGAATTTTTAGTCTTCCAATATTTGCTTTTTTTCCCTTCCAAGTAAGAGAAAGTTTTAACATGAAAACGAGGGAGAAAAAGTATGGTGAATAGTTTAAAAAAATATATTTTTAGGGCTGTAAATTAATCACTGTTAACATGCACGATTAATCCATTCATTGGTGTTTGTGTTATTTTTCTTAACATGTTAATCGCACAAGTGGTTTTGAAGCCTGTTTCTGGGCTTCACTCTGCCACCTTCACTGCTGTCTCTGGGCCACCCATCAGGGCAGTGGTGCCAGTGCAGAGGACCACAAGGCAGTTTAGATGTGGGCTCCGGGCACTTGCAGTAGGAAAGGGGGGCGAGGGGCGCAAAGACACAGAGACACATGAGCAGCTGCAATATGAACGTGGCCAGGAATGCAGTGGCGTGTAAAGCAGTATCCTGCAGGTAAGTCTGTGGAGGGGGAGGAGCGGGGGCCAGATCGAGGCCCTCACAGTGAGGGAGGGAGTCAGGCAGGGGCAGGGGCTGGGGTCAATGGGGCCCTGGGGCCAGGGTGGATCATGGGATGGAGCCACGGGAAGCTTGTCCAGGGGCACAGGGTGGCGTGCCTCTATGCTGCTGCTCACACCCCTGGGGGAGGAATGTGGGGCATGCGCCCCCCAGATTTATGCACTGGGCAGAGCCAGGCTGCCCACTGCAAGCTGGGGCTCTGCGTACTGCTGCCTTTGTCCCAGGAGCCATGTGCTGGCTGCGCTGCGTGTCCCCTGCCCACCTGGCAGCAGGAGACACAACATGGCATTGTGCAGCTGCCAGGGCAAAGGCAGCATGGCGCAGAGCCCCAGCCTGCAGTGGGCAGTCTTCCTCTGCATCTTGCACAAATCTGGGGGGCACATGTCCCCTATGCCTCCCCCGGGGGTGCACACAGCGGTGGGGAGTTGCACTCCCCCATGCACCTGGATGAGCCACCCGTGGCTCTGTCACATAATCCATACTGGCCTCGGGTCCCCATTCACCCCACCCCCTGCCCCACTCCCTCCCTCACTGTGGGGATCTCGATCTGCCCCATCCCTCACCCCTTCCCCTTCTCAGATGTCCCTGCTGGGTGCTGTGTGTGTGTGTGTGTGTGTGTGTGTGTGTGTGTGCGCGCCCCTTACTCCCAAGCCACAGCCCACCCCACCCCAGCCCTGCTGCTGCCCCTTACTCCTGACCTACAGTACCCTGCATCCTGCCAGGGCATTCAGCACCCCCCCACCTGGGCTCCAAACCCCCAACACACACCCACAACCCCCTACACCTTCACAAATTTCCCCCCCTACACATCCCCCATTCACCCCAACCATACAAAGTACCTACATAATTTTGCATAATTTTGAGTTTTTCTGCACATAATTTTGAGTTTTTAGCTGTGCGATTAAAATAGCAATTCATTGCAACTAACTTTTTTAATCGTGCAAGCAACTGGGATTATTTTTTTTAACCATTTGACAGCCCTCATTATTTTTAATTTATTTTTTCCATTTGTCAATATTCTCCACTTTCTAGTGATATAAAACAGAACTGTAAAAGTCAAGGATGGGCAGCTGGCACCAAAAATGTAAAAAATTGAGAATCTGAGTAGTGCAAAAAAATTAGAAACAATGAACAAAACATTAAAAAAAAAAGAAATTTAAGGGGAATTTATAATTGTTTTGGCTTTTAAAAATCTAATTAATATTAATTTTTGGCTTTTTGTTTTAAGCTTTCCTGATTTCAATCCTTTTTTTCTTTTTAAAGTGAGAGACTAGAAAGAGGTTGAGGATTTTTAGGGATTTCACCTTTTTACTTCAATTTTTATGTTACCTCAATATTTACCAGTGGGAAAGAAAAAGGGGCAAAACTACCCAGTCTCAGGGCTCTTAAACTGAAATGAAAATATAAATATGAGACACTAAACGTTTGTTTTATTTTGGATTCTTCTTTTGAAAAATTTAGTCAAAAGAACATGTTCCAAGTGCAGGAAGGAACTTTGCCATTCATTTAAATTTCCCCAGAAACGTTTTATGGAAAATGTTTCCTATTAGAAACGGCATAGCATTGAAACTGGTTCCCTTGGCCATAAAAGTTCCTCAGTTGATAAAGGTCAATGGGATCCAAGAGTGTGTGTGTGTCCTCTAGTCACTAGTTCCTGTGTTATCTCGTACTCCAGCTGGGCTTTGGGGCAGAGGGAAGGAGGAGGCTGCCATCCAAAATAGGCCATAAGAGGGGATTTATCAATTATAAAAAACACAGAGAAAAGGGAAACACCCTGCTCCCGGCAGCACAGCACTCATTACTGAAATCCCTGCTCCCTACAGCACAGTGTCTCAATTACTGGCCTGGATTACCTGGGCTGAGAACAGATCTCATTGCTTTCCATGTAGTGTACTGGATGGGACCCTGGAACTGGGCCAGTTTCAGCAGAGAGCAGACTACAGTGGGCTGGGCTCTGGCAGCTCCCTTCTGTTCCAGTTCCAGCCAGTGCACCTGCTTCTGGCACCTGTTGACAGAAGAACCCCCGGTTCCAGGGATATGGTCTGCTGAGGGCATGGGTCACATAAGGAAAGTAAAGCATGGTCCTCCCCTATGCTCTGCCAGCAAGCCAAGCCTACCCAGGAGGCTCTACCCCCTGGCAATGCCCTGCTCACCACTCATTGCCCTTCCACAAGCCAGGCTTCACTGACTTACTTCCACCAGACTGGGTTCACCCACAACCTAAGCCCCTTTCAGAAGCTGAGCTCCACTTACCAAGCTCTACCCTGAAGTCTCTCTCCAAGGCAGGCTATTCAAAGCTACACCTGCTGCCCAGACCCCACCCATAAGAAAAGCACCTGCTACCACCCCGATGATAAACCCTGCCCACCTATACCCAAGCCCTACCCACAAACAGAGCCTACCAATGACCCCAAAGCCTCCCAGGAGGCCCCATTCTTGTTCTGGTCAGAAGATGCCATCAGGGCAAGGGGTGCAAAGGTAAGTAATGGGGGTCTTGCCATCAGGGCAAGGGGTGCAAAGGTAAGTAACAGGGGTCCTGATGGTCTGGCTAATCAGGGGGTGGGGGGGCACACAGTCTTGCAAGGCCTTAAATGCCTGTACACCAATGCTCGTAGCATGGGGAACAAACAGGAGGAACTCGCCCTCAGAATAGCTAGTTCAAATCCAGATGTCGTAGGGTTAACAGAGACATGGTGGGACTCATCCCATGACTGGGCAGTTAACATTAGGGGCTATAGGCTGTACAGGCGGGATAGAGAAGGCAGAAAAGGGTGGGGGGTGGCACTTTATGTCAAGGAGCACTACACATCCTCTGCCAGCAGTATGGGGTCAGGGGAAGGGCGAGCTGAAGTGCTCTGGGTCAAGATCCAGGGGGGGCAAGGCGAGAGGGATTTGACGGTGGGGGTCTATTACAGACCCCCCAATCAGGAGGAGGAGCTGGACAGGGAATTTTCAGGCCAGCTTGCGGAGACACTAAAAGCAAGGGATGTAGTTGTCATGGGCGATTTTAATTACCCGGACATCTGCTGGGAGGAGCAGTCAGCCGGGACGGACCGCTCCAGGAGGTTCTTGGCCGAGTTGCAGGACCTCCACTTGATTCAGGAGGTGCACAGTCCCACCAGAGGAGATGCCCTGCTGGACCTGGTCCTGGCCGCAGGCGACGACCTGGTAAGAGGCCTCCAGGTTCTTGACCACCTGGGCAATAGTGATCATCGCGTGCTGGAATTCACCATCCAGCGTAGAGTGTCAAGGGCCCGCAGCAAGGTGGTGGCCCTAGACTTCAGGAGGGCCAACTTCAGTGAGATGAGGAGATTAGTGGGAGAGGAACTGGGGTCCTTGAGGGCAGAGGAACTCAGCGTCCAAGAGGAGTGGTCGTTCCTTAAGGAAACGATACTCGGGGCCCAAGGGGTGTCCATCCCGACAAGAAGCAAGGCGGGCAGGAGTGTCCAAAAGCCCCCCTGGCTCACCAAGGGTGTCCGGGAATGCCTGCTTGCCAAAAGGGTGGCGTACGCCCGGTGGAAGGGGGGTGTAATCTCCAAAGAGGAGTATACCTCCTCTGCTCGGGCCTGCAGGCGGGCTGTTAGGAAGGCCAAGGCGGAGATAGAGCTCGGATTAGCGTCCAGGATTAAGGATAACAAAAAGTCCTTTTTCAAATATATTGGGAGGATGAAGAAGGCGCCGGGTAATGTGGGGCCCCTGCAGGATATGCGGGGCAATCTGGTGGTTGCGTCAGAGGATAAAGCGGACCTCTTTAACCAATTCTTCACCTCCGTTTTCTTGTGCAGGGACCGGGACTTCCCTGCTGTGATAGAAGCCGGACGCGAGGGGATCGCCTTCAGACCTCAGGTTGGGGAGGACCGGGTTAGAGAGCTTCTGGAGGGGCTGGACGCGTTCAAGTCAGCGGGTCCGGATGCTCTCCACCCCAGGGTGCTGAGGGAGCTGGCTGGGGTTATTGCAGGGCCCCTGGCACGGCTCTACGAGCGATCGTGGTGCTTGGGCCAGGTGCCAGACGATTGGAAGGTAGCTAATGTGGTCCCCATCTTCAAAAAAGGGAAAAGGGAGGACCCGGGCAATTATAGGCCCGTCAGTCTTACCTCAATCCTGGGGAAGCTCTTTGAGAAGATCATCAAGGAGCACATTTGTGATGGGCCGGCATCCGAGATGATGCTCAGGGGCAATCAGCATGGATTTATTAGGGGGAGATCATGTCAGACCAACCTGATTGCCTTTTATGATCAGGTCACAAAGGCCATGGATGCAGGTGTCGCGGTGGATGTAGTCTTTCTGGACTTCAGCAAGGCCTTTGACACCGTCTCTCACCCCATCCTAATTAGTAAACTAGGCGACTGTGGCATAGATGCCTACACGGTCAGATGGATTGCAGATTGGCTGAAGGGTCGCACTCAGAGGGTGGTGGTGGATGGATCATATTCGACTTGGGGGGAGGTGGGTAGTGGAGTCCCTCAGGGCTCGGTCCTGGGCCCTGCGCTGTTCAATGTCTTCATCAGCGATCTTGATGTTGGGGTGGAGAGCAACCTGTTTAAATTCGCTGATGACACCAAAATTTGGGGGGAGGTGAGCACGCTAGCAGGGAGAGAGAGATTGCAGAAGGATCTGGATAGGTTACAGGGGTGGGCAGACAGGAACAGGATGCGTTTCAATACGGACAAGTGCAGGGTGCTGCACTTGGGTAGTAGGAACCAGCAGCACACTTATACGATGGGGAACTCCCTACTTGAGAGCACGGAGGCGGAAAGGGATCTTGGTGTCATTATTGACTCCAAGATGAACATGGGCCGACAATGCGAGGTCATGGTTGGCAGGGCTAACCGGACCTTGTCGTGCATCCACAGGTGCATCTCGAGTAGAGCCAGGGAGGTGATCCTCCCCCTCTATGCGACGCTGGTCAGGCCGCAGCTGGAGTATTGTGTCCAGTTCTGTGCGCCCCATTTCAGGAGGGATGTGGACAACATGGAGAGGGTCCAGAGGAGGGCCACCCGCATGATCCGGGGACAACAGGGCAGACCCTACAGTGAGAGACTGCGGGACTTGAACCTATTCAGCCTCCACAAGAGAAGGCTGAGGGGGGACCTGGTGACCGTCTATAAACTCACTAGGGGGAACCAGAAGGGTTTGGGGGAGACGCTGTTTCCCCTAGCCCCTGCTGGCATAACAAGGAATAATGGGCACAAGTTGATGGAGAGGAGGTACAGATTGGACATCCGAAAAAACTACTTCACAGTCAGGGCGGCTAGGAGCTGGAACCAACTTCCAAGGGAGGTGGTGCTGGCCCCTACCCTGGGGATCTTTAAGAAGAGGCTGGATACTTACCTGGCTGGACTCATTTGAGTCCCGTTTTTGTTTTTAGGGTGAGTGGTTTTGTTTGTGTTTTTGGGTTGTTCTCCCGCCCTGGCGGGGGGTCGGGCTAGAAGATCTATTAGGTCCCTTCCGACCCTGAAACTATGAAACTATGAAACTATGCCACCCACAACCACAAGTAGTGCCCACTATTGGGCCTCCTCTTGCAAGTGAAGTCCTACCCAACAGCCAGGGTTCCCCCCCTTTGACTCTGACTACTAAATTATCTGGCCCCATCCACCCACTCACTTAACTATATCTCTCTTACCTGCATCTATCCTGGGTCTCTCACAATTATGCCTGTGGTGAAAGGCATGGGAAGGGGGAAAGGGGAAGGGGTACAACGGCCCCTGTTCCTTAGCCTAAGTGGGAGGTGCATCTGTCTGTCTGACTGTTCTCCTTGCCATGGCCTCTCAGCTGGGTGGGGCAGGGGAGGGTGGACAGGTAGGGATCTGGCTGGCCAATGGCCAGGGGAGAGATCAGGGAGGGTGCAGGATTCAGGGTGCAGAGCATATCCCGGGGCTGACTGAAGTGGGGTGGGTGGCATACTCGCATGTCCAAAACACGCCGTATCCCCTGAGGGGAGAGAGAGAGAGAGAGAGAGAGAGTGGGAAAACAGAGGGGATCTTGGGGTCTGAGACCCACAGATCCCTTGGAAATCCTTCCCTTGTGTCCACTCTAGTCCCAGCCCCACTGCTCCCCATCCCCAAATTGATGCAATTTCCTTCAAACCCTCAAATGGGGACCAGACAAGGGGGTATGATTGTGTGTGCGCACACACCCATATACCCATGAGTGTGAATCTATTTTTCTGTATGCAATCCAGCATAGGGGGTGTGTGTGTGTGTATGTATTATACCCTTGAGAGTATGTGTGTGTGCATATGTGCGTGCACCCGAGTGTGTGTGCATGTGACAGTGTGTGCACTCCTGTACTCACCTGCTCATGTGTGTGTGTGCATGTGTGGACCTGGGACCTGGCCAGGCCTGTGAGTGTGTGCACTGGTGCCTGGGCAGGTGGGGCTCTCACCTGCAGGAAGACACTAGGTTCCAGCTCCCCCAGCCGGGCCTGGACATCATGCTGAGCCTCCCATGCAGCTTGCAGTCTCTCTCGCACACTGCCCAGTGCGGCCTCCATCTCCCAGTGCACAGCCTCTGCTGCCTCCTGCAGCTCCCGCAGCAATGTAGCTTCCCTCTGTGCCAGGAACTGCCGCAGATCAGCCAGCTCTGAAGAGATGCGGTGTTGCAGAGTGGTCCTGGAGGCCTGTGTGGTAGTAAATGGGGAGGGTGACGGGGGTCAGCATTGAGAGTGGGGGCCTGGAGCAACAGGGCTCTGGATTGAGACACAGACAAGATAGAATGAGGGGTGGAAAACAGGATGCCAGGTTGGGCAGAGAACACCAACTGTTTTCCACCACAATAATGCAACCAAACAAATATTCTTCAAATTATTTAAGAATTTTCATAGGGTTTGTTTGTTTGTTTTGGGTGCAGGGTGGTTTGTTTGGAGAAGGGTATTTTGTTTTATTTTTTCTGAGAAAATCAATATTGTTCCCAACAATTTCATGGATTTTGGCGCATCCCCTACCCCCATTTTATTAAAGAAAAATCTTCATGCTAACAAAACCAGTATTTTTCAGTTTGACTTGTAATAGTTTCATAGTAGTTTCATAGTAGCTAGGGTCAGGAGGGACCTGAACAGATCATCTAG